TTGCTAATAACATTCGGTATAAAATCAGTAATTAATCGACGGTCGAGTTCAGGTCGAATCGGCCATTTTAATCAGCAGTCGATTTTCTTATATTCGACTAGTGAATATATTTCTATATTCTCGATTCTCTGATAATCTTCCATATTTATATCTGAACTTTTATCACTCAAATAGACATAATTTCTATTATTACTAGTATTATTTTTTGTAACGAGATCATAATCAAATATAAGATATTCTTCACTACTATCTCGTGCATTAGAAATTTCACAACACTTAAGAAGCGATGAATTAAAGAAGGATCTATAGCATCTCATGTATTTTTAACTCACTGAATAACTAAATTATAAGCTGGCTTTTGAATACGACTAGTTGGAGTATAAGATTTTATTTCTTCAGCTATTCAATTATTATAATAATGGCATAACTATTGTTATAAAATTTTTTAATATTTGAATTAAAAAATATAGTAAATATAATTTTTTTTATAAAAATCTAACCTTGGATTTAAATGATTTGTTAATTGATACATCCAATAGTTGTAACTTGGAAGTGAGTTCACCAGATATAACTGCCATGTTAGTGTTTTTTTCATTAAGTCGATTTTTAACAGGATCTACTAAATGACCTCTAAAGGAATCAAGCACTAATAAAGATTGTGCATTGCTAGACAAAAAAGCACATCGATTCTATATATTTTCAATCCAAAAAAGTATTTTTTCTGTATTAGAATAGCCTTCTTTATTGGCTTGAATGATAATACTTATAAGATCATATAATGAAAATTTTATAAATTAGATTTTATCTAATTTTTTATATATTAAATATTATATACTCTAAATACCAAAAGAAAAAACTTGACGAGGAACATTTACTAGTTTAAAGATGATCATTGCTGGTAACTTTGTTCTGTCTGCCATATAGCTTAAAATTACAGTAAAATTAGATTTTTCATGTCTACAAGTTCGAATACTGATAGTTTTTGATTCAGTTATTTCTATAGTTGTTAAACTAGGAAGATCGAATGAAACTGGAGTTTCATTCATATTACTAATAAATTAAGAGAATAATCATACTGAATTCTTCGATATAAAACAAATCCTAAAAATGCATATTGCATTTTTGATAAATCTTCAGGCAATCGTTACACTACTGTTGTATGATGATGAGAACTAAATTGATGCTGTATCATAAATCCATCAATCTATTTGTTACTAAATTTATATTCATTAATATCAGGGTACATTGTAGAATACTGATGTGATAAAGCTTTAGCTTTTAATTGTATCATTGCTCGTGTTACAACTTTCAAACTTTGATGTAACTCTCTAATCTATTGACTTAAAACCACTTCAAGTTCTAGGTACTTTAGACAAAAGCCATTATTTAATCTCTAAACATGAGGCGAAGCTTCCATTAATTTTTGCTTAAGTCCTTGCTATTTTCTAACTTGAACAGGCTTAATATTAAATGCTGTAGCAGTTGCATGAATACTTTTTTGCAGATGATTTTCAAGGTAAGCTATTATAGCTAATTTTTTACGCACATTCTATTGGCGCCACTTTTTTTCAGTAATAGTGATATGATGACACTGTTTATTTTCTTTTGGTAGTGACATACTCTATATAATGTATTTCAAGATAAAATAAAAAATTATTTCTAACTATACTAATCTTGCTTAATATACTCAAAAAATGAGATAAAGAATTTTTTACCTCAATAGTTTTTACAAAACGTATTTATGATAAAGTGAGATTTAAAAAATTTTTCTGATCTCTTTTTATATGATCTATTATTATAGTACCCCCTATGTAGAGCTATCGAATTTCTGCTACAACAGGTCCCAAATTCTGCTAGCTCTACAAGCTTATTTATGCGAATTTATGCAATAAATTTCTTTAATTTATGCTGTAAATTCTGCGATTTCTGCAACTTTTTAAAATTTATGCCAAATTTTGTGAATTAAATACAGAAATAAAAAGTTTACTATCATGTTAAACTTTTAAAAAAATCGACCTCAGCTCTCTGCTTTTTCCAAGTAAAATGCTCGTTTATCTAATTGTCTACATCAGAATCCCGGACTAGAGACCCAGAAAAAAATCGATATTACTTATAGAAATTCTGAAATTAAAATCCTATAAATAAATGGTTTTCTGTGTCCCTGCTCGGGGCCCTCATCAATGTATCATTTATGCTTAAATCTGCTAATAAAATTTACAAATTATGCCTCAAATTATATGAAATCTGCTCTGATACGTAAAATATGCTATCACATATGCTATGCGATAAAATCCATGTTTATGCACATATTATGCTATCGCAGATTTTCAGTGGCCCTACCCCTGTGTCTTACATGTATGATCAATTTTATAGCAAGAATATTAAACAGTATTACAGTATTTTAATTTTTTTTTTCTTCAATTATTATTCAATTTTTTTTTATATAATTTTTAAAATATCTAAAATGTTATTAAACATTATTATGACCCAAGCATTAAGGAAGTTCAATAGTAATTTTATTTAAAGTAGTAGAAGTTAATTCAAGAACTTTGGGACTTTATACAAATTAATAACCTTATCGATAAATAATTCAAGTTTTTGTATGAATCGAAAATAAGTTTTTTTTTTTTTAATACATGCAAGTTTAAAACAAGATTTTAAATAATTACATAATGCAACAAAATGATTTTAAAAAAATTTTTTATTTATTTAAAAAAATTTATTTATTATTTATTTTGGATTTCTGGATATAGTTTTGCCAAGAAATTCTGAATTATTTTAGTATTATACTTATACAGGATCGAATCAATTCCTTACTAAACACAGTACCTCCTGCTGAATATAGTACCTCCACTAAACACAGTACCTCCTGCTGAATACAGTACCTTCGCTGAACACAGTACTCTCTACTTAACACAGTACTCTCCATACATAGTACCCACAACCATACACAGTATCCAGAGGAGTACTATTTGTGGTTAACATGAGTTTCCTTGTTAATACCTGGGGTACTTTATGGCACACTATATGGTACTCAAGCTTTTAGTCAAAAACAGAAAAAGGAAAACATAAAGGATCAGGAATCTGGCTACTAGTGAACCAAAATTGGTTAAGAAATATAAGAGTTTGTAAAAGGTTCAGTCCATACTTACTCAAAGCTGAATTTTTCTTCAGAAGAGTAGTTTTTCAAGTTTGGATAGTATACTTACCTCCTAAAAATAAAGAAGTAACAAAAAAAGTACACAAGATACTTATAGAAGAAATTATCAAGAATAGGAAAAACACAATATATATGATCTTAAAAGACTTTAACATGGTATTAAATGAAAGACTAGATACAAGTAGCAAAAGAAAGAGAAACTCAGATACTGGTACGAGAATTACAAAATGGTTAAAAAACACTGACTATATAGAAACCTTCCATTTTTGTAACTCAGAGCTAATCAAATATTCATGGTCAAATGGTAATATATCAACTAGAATAGATCATATTTGGATAATGTAGGATATGAGGAATATCATCTTAGATAGCAATATAGAGCAAATGGAAACAGTAACAGATAGTGATCATGGAATGGTCTAGTTACAATTAGATAGTGCAAGTATCTTAGAAAAGAACAAGCAGAGAAGCAAAAGAGGACAA